GCTCAGCTGGTGTAGTAGTATATTTATGGCGCGGCGCATTATACACTGCGTTTCGTTAAAATTTTGGAATAGTGTATTCAAAGAAAGTGGGATAAAAACTTCCACTTGGCGCTGTGTCGACTTAAATTAATAACGAGGTTCTGTCTGTCTATCTCTCTCATTCTCTTTCTTTTCGAGAAAGGAGACATAATCAACTTGTGTATATACCACGGTGTATAACCGAGAGATGAGATTTTATGTATTATCATTCAGGATGTTGTTTCGGCTTTCGTAATTTACTTTGAGAGCGCAATGCTGTTACATCTGGGCTCTCTGTGTGAATTTTTGATGAAACTGCATAAACAATTAAAGCGCTCCTTTGTTGGGTATGTAACTACACTTCAGAGAGGGAGACGGGATATAATTGCGTTAACGAAAATTATCATAAAGACCGAGTCAATTTTTAATTTCACAATGCATGAGTGTCTGGTTCAATATAGGGCAACATACATACGAGATAGAAGAGCCAGCCTGGGCGTTCTGCCTTGTTAGATACCTGCCAGAGAGAGAGAGAGACAAAGAGAGAGAGCGAGAGAGTTGGACGATTAGGAGGACGCCGCCGTTGAGTTGAAACGCTCGCGCACGACGTTAAGTTGCCTACGAGAGCAAGAGAGTGAGGGACTGGGTAATCGTTATGGGAGTTGCGTAACTTTCGGGCGTTCAGCCGTTGGCCAATTGTTTGACTAACGAGTCAGGTGGCTATTTGTACAATACTTGTTAAATATAATGAATGGTCGATCGCTATTAGTTGCCCAAGGTATATAAGTTGCCGTCGTTGCTGCTCCTGATTGAGTTTGTGTTCCAAGAGTATACGTATGTGTGTATGTGTGTAAAATTCAATGGAGAAACTGCCAGAAGCTACACTCGGTAGCCTCACGTACGGTATTTCGAAATAATTCAAAAGTTAATAAAGCTCCAATTTTTTTTGGGGAATAGAAGCGGCCACAGTTAGAATGCAACCGAGTATGAAGTTGCGAGCACGGCCCTGAGTGACAACGATTCGAGCTTACATTATTATCGCGAACACGATCGAGTACGACTTACCTCGACGAGATGTGCACGCATAAGCGCGTCCACACTTGTACTTGTGTTACGTATAGCCACAGACCATTGCACTCTCGCATACGGACTCGGCGCTCTGCTTAGCTGCACGCCCAAGCAAGCAGCATACACAGCTATATAGGTGGGTGCCCGCGCGCGTACGTATGGCAGCGGCGCGCGGTGGCCAAGCGGGTGTCTAACTTTTCGACGTAATTAATTCTCCGAGTTAACGCGGAATGCCATAATTAATTCCCAGTGGCTCGCCGCACGAACGAGACTCTCCCGGAGCTCTAGTGCGCGCGCGAGCGAGCGAGTGAGAGAGAATAGTAGCCGAGAGCAAGAGAGAGAGAGAATTGCAATGTCAGAGGGATTGTAACAATATGTACTCTCTCTCGCTCGCTCTCCGATTAGAAACCTTGTAACTCGCGCCCTGTTATATATGCGATTAATTACATTCTCTTTATGAGCCCTCCCCCCCTACCCCCCTCGAAACTCTCCCTACCGACTCTCTCTCTCTCTCTCTCTCTCTCTCTCTCTCTCGCTCTATCTGGCAGCTGTTAATTACCTTTCCCTGGGCAAGAGGCAGAGAGGGTTGGAGGCCGAAGACCGGGGCTTCGCTTCAAAACTACGATTGTTTGCCAGTGTATACCTAGGCCGAATTCCAACTGCTCCCAACGCACGGGGTATCTATCCAAAAGTGCACTCGATGAGTATCGTACATATGCGATGTTTGAACCGAGCGTGCACATATTTACCGTATTCGAAATTCGTCTTTAAAAGGGCAAGCGTAATAATGATTGAAGATATCATAAAACTACTTGGCTTTGTTTGGGGTTCAACATTTTTACAAGCCTTACTTCTCTCTAAAACGCGATGCTTGCAACCGAGCATTGAAATCGGTACAATGAAGAAGCTTATTTTTCTATTTTACTGGCGGATTTCGTACATGCAGTAGTAGGAAATTCAATTGTTTATAAGTTAGAATTAAAATATAATGTTAAAAATAATTCGAATAAAAACAAAATACCATTGAAATAAATGAAACTCGAATCTAGGATGACACATACTCCACGGCACGTAACATTAATGAGCTTGTTTGAATTTTCGTGAAAAAGTTATGAATCCCATTATTTTAATATGCGCTATGCAGCAAGCGCGTTAGCTGGACATCTGCACCATAGCTCATCTTGAAAATTGGTTGGTTGCGATCCAGGAGGCAAGGACAGCAAAGTCTTGCTTGGGTAATGAAAAGTCTTGAACCGAATAGATCGGATAGATTAAAAGAAATAACCTCCAAAATGAAAAAATGAAGAGGAATGGAAAATTCAAAATTAGAGGACCAAAGCTTTGGGAATGCATACGAAAAAGACTATAAGTACACAGCCCGAAATATGTTTTCGATGTGCCTAGATATATATCACGATGTCATATTAGAACAAGTCGCCCATTTCAATTGTGGAGTAGTAGTAGAAGTAGGTTTTTTTATTGGCATTTAAAAAATTTTACTTAGCCATAGTACTTCAATTGTGGAAAACTTAGATGTGCACAATCAAAATAATAAAAAGCAATTATTATTGTCACATGAAAGCAAGCAATCACGTTCAAAGTTTTCTACATACTTGAGTACTATTTTGAAAGATCTGCAAGAACCAGTACGCAGAACTGCATGAGTATCCAACTTTTTCGTTTTACCGACATCAGATGGCTCTGGCATAGAGGATTTCATCTACTTGAAAAAATCCTGCTTCATAACACAACGAAAAGATTTGAATGCAGAATCATTTCATCTTTAAACTTTTTCACGAGTTGCATGTAGATTACATGCATTTTCGTATCCATCATATAGATTGCAACTGATGACCTGTAAAAAGCAATGCCACATTGTTCACCATTATTAATTGATATTTCCTATAATTCAGCTTCGACCCGCATCTATCCATAACTGATCGCAAGTGTCGTTCTCTCTGGGTATAACGAAATTACAATCTCGTCTGCGTGATCTTTGCTCTCTAGGTACACCTCCGATGCATATTGAACGCACGCTAATTAATACAAACACAATCCTTACGGTCCTCGTGGATGTCGATCGTTTGCCTCATTGTGCACAAATGCACAGTTTCTCTCATCGATAAATCGAGAAATCGGAAAGTAGCTGCAAGGGGCTAAGTATAAACGTGTGTACGCATGGTTATACGTACGTACGTATGTGTGTGTGTGTGTTACCATGCTGCCTTCTCTATATGCGTTACACACAGGAAGAGTTTGCCGCGCCAAGGGTGGGAGAGCGAGAGAGAGCAAAAGCGTATATAGCGCTCGGAAAGCCCCAGTGTTAATTAACGCCAAGTTTCAGGACTGATTTACGTGGCGTCTAATTAGCGGGCCTGACGGCGATGTATGTAGCAAGCATTTTGATTGGCCAGGCGCGCCGCCGCCGCGCACAGCTACCTACCTACCCTACCCCCGCTCGCTCTCTCTTTCTCTCTGGTAGAACAGCCACCTTCTCTCTCTTATTTGCTTGAACTGCTACTTCAGCTTTGCTACCGCTGCTACTGCTGCTGTTGCTTATGTGTGAATATGTGTGAGCGTATGCATATTTACCCTTGGTCAGACCTACATAAATATGCCTTTGTGCTACCCTCTTTTGTTATTCGATAATAATGTAACAGCTCTCTCGCGCTTGCTCCTAACAATCCTGACTAATTCACTTTTCGGAAAACAACGCGCCGCTAGGTTTTATCTGCGATTCCGTAGAAAAATGTGCACGAATTGCATCCTCGCACACGCGCGCGCTCGCGCTAATTTGCAGAGCAAAGAATGAAAGAGAAAGAGAGGCACCGACGCCGCCGACACCGATCAAGAGAGCGGATTTATGCATCACGACTCGCGTTACATTACAGCATACCAGTGTGCGAGCGAAACGATGCCAAATAACGACACCGTACTGGCAGTGGCGTCGGCTGCAGCCACGGCTTTCCTTCTGCATTAGCATCACTCACCGTTTTGCACGCCTGACAATTAGCGCATCGCGCACAGTGACTATCCTAGAGAGGAGAGTCTCGAAGCGGCGTCAATTAAGCCTCTGTTTCAGTGGCATATATAGAGAGGCCCCCGACGTTATAAGGCCAAAAATAACGAAATCGCGCGAGCCCACGATTGCTTGCGCAAAATCACACACACACAAGCCGACGAGTATTCTCTTCTTTCTCTCTGATCTTTTTCGGGAGAGCAAGACAGATGCGATCGCGAGCATGAAGAGAGCTGCACTTCGAATAACTGTCGATGATTCTTGGCTGCAGCCTGTTTATATGTATGAAGCCTTTATGGTGCCAAATTGCGAGCAACTGCTAATTTAAATATCATATACGTAGGCTATATAGCTTTGTATAACGTGTTAAAAGTGATAGGCTCGAGCGTTGATTGCACGCGCAAGCGGCATTTTTTCATTTGTAAATTGATCGTAGCAACGGTGCCAGGTGTGATACACAAGAAGCCATTAAATTGGCTAACACACTTTCTCAATTATAATCTTGAGGCTCGAGGTTTAATAAACAAATGAAAACAACTTCCCAATAGAGCCGCTTCGAGTGGAAATAGAGGTGTCACGGAATCTCGGACAGCACTTGCTTACCTGAACAAGTAAATAAATTTTATAAATAGAAAACGAGATTTCTTTTATGCAGCCTGTACGTCGATTGCCGCAGTTTTCACACCGAAAATTTTTATTGAATATATATTTAAAATATGTCGATGTAAAAGAGGAAATTCAGGCTTTATCGGAACAGGATATGTATGCAATGAAATAAAATTGAATCTCGAGATATGTATTTTTTCTGAAAACTTGTCACTTTATTTTAATTAATAAACGTGTACGTGTGTATGTCTTGATCGTGTATGGCGATGTGTTTCATTTTTTCTTTTACTTTTAATATTTTACAAGAGTTCGGCAACGACGCGCGGGGCCCACACAATGGCTTCTTTTTCTTCGTCGCTTCGATTGCGAGCGTAGTGGAAAAAAAGGCTCGCGACAACTAGACTTTTTATCCCTTCCTTTCCTTTTTTTATTACGCATTAGCTGTCTAACTAGTACAATTCTAGAAGTTGAGATGAATCAAATATTAACAAAATTAACTAAAAGGCAAAAGATCTCTCGATACGAGCACTCTGTGTACGGACGACGCGTAGCCCTTTTTTCGTCGTTAAATGCGCCGAATAACATTACAGAGAGCCCGAACAATAGGTACGAAAGAACGAGAAAAAAACTAGTTTCAAAAAGCATCGTGCGTTGATTGATTGATTTCTTTTTTTTCTTTTCTTTGCGTCGAATGCTCGGTATTGAAACTGGTTTTCTCCGGCTCAAAACTTCGAGGCTCGGCTCTCGTGCGTAAAGCCACAGAGTCTCTCGAGACATCATTCGGCTAATGCAGTATAGCAGAATCCTTTTTCTTAAACAGGCTAAAAACAGTTCGACTTCGATTAACCAATGTATATATCACACAAATCTTTTTTAACAATATACAAAATGTATCTTTTTTTTTTATTCATTCGTTCACATCGTCGGGCATTTTTTTAATAACTAGGCTTTTTTGTTATTCGTTTTATTATTACTATTTATTTTCTCGTTCCTTATCAATATGTACAGGATAAATCTAAACGTAACATTCATCATCACGATCACTTACATTAACTCTCACATCACACAATCACACACACTTTCTTTTCGTATGTTTTATAACATATTTATATAATCATACACGTATAATAGAACTAGTTTGCTATTTTTATTTTCAATATTGACCTGATGATGATGATTGAAAAAGTGAAGAGCAAAGTCAATGAACGGCTATTAAATTGTATTCTTTGAAGATATGACGATCGAGAGCAACAGTGCCACAAATGGTTTTTCTCGTTTATCGACCGTTGAATTGACTATTTTAGCTTTTTGCTCTCGCGCACTTTTAAGACACTTCACGCTTACTTTACGCTTCGTTTTACAATCGTCAATTGTTTCTGTAACTTGTGTCTTCTATATACCATACAGAGAGCGTACTTTTCATTTTTATACATACGAGTTTTCGCGGGAGGGGATAATAAACGATTTTTTGATGTACACATTATTGCATATAAAGGAATTTGCATTGATTTGCTTTTCTAGTCAGGTTCGAGTGCCTTCTTGGATATAGCGGGTACACGGAGGAGGGAATTAACCATGTTAATTGAACATACAATTGGTAGCTATTAACTGCTTATACTGAGCCAATATTAACTTGTTGCTGTCGGCATCGATAATGAAGCTGATAATACTCTAGGAATGGAACGCCCAAAGGATCCCAAAACGATTACCATTTGCGTATGCGTTTCAGTATGCATCATCATTCTATTAAAAAAATAAACTTAATAGTTCGTGAAATGATTTTGCAATCGAAATTAACAATTATCTCAGTTATCGAGCTAACAGCGAACAACCAAGATAAATTTACGAGATAATTCCGTCATCTCGAGCGAGAACGCGAACCGTACAGCGCGACACGTTCGAGGAATAATTCGGTTGGCGTCAAATCTTCACTACACTCACACACAACAGAGACACAAACTCTCGCGCGCATTACGTCGCTGCAAAGAAGCGCCTCGCTCGATTAAATTTATTGCTTACACGACGACACACAGCGACTTTGCTCATATTTAGACGCGGCAACACGGGCAGCTTGAGATCGGCTCGAACACAGGGAAAATTGCAACAACTGCGAGGCAGAGGGTTTTATTCATTATTTTTATGATATAAATACATAGATAGAGCGAGAAAAGGTGAAAAACGATTCGCACTGTTGTAGTTTTAATGATTCTTTTCCTTTGTTTTTCTGCTGTAAATCGGATGCAAACCAAAAAATGAAAGAGTAAAAAATATAACGAATATCAATGGAGCGTTGAAACAAAGAACGGCTGAACGAACTCCAATGATGCTATTTTTTTTTTCATTTCTTGATGCAGCAATATCCGATCTTTTATTTAACATAATTATTGCTTTTCTAACTCTGGGTCTCTACTGTTGCACTTTTACGTTAAACGTAAACATCTCACATGACGACAAGTCACGAGCAAAAAAACAACAACGAAGTAACACACCCAATCGAGTTCGGCGCTTGTTCGCTCATAGAAACCTATGTATATAACAGAGAGAATGAGAGAAAGAGATGAAAGGAAAAAAGGAATCCCAAAACACAACATGAGTCATTAAGCCTTCGTATAGCTATGTATAATATAAATTACGTAATGTAGTTGTCCAAGTTCTGAGACGAGGCTCTCGCGCTGCACGAGGCAGAGTTCATCACTGCGATCACAAAAAGAGTTGCACCAGAAGTTCATTTGTATTTCAAGTCTTTTATCATTTATCGCACATACAGAGTCGCGGTCACGCACAGATATAACCACGCAGCACGGCACAGTTTTTTCTTTTCTTTAATCACAAGGTTCAGGCGTCCACGACCATTCGGAGTAAGACGGCGACGCCTGATGCTGTTGCTGCTGCTGGTGAGGATGTCCCATGCCCATTTGATTCATCATGGACATGGGCGGCTGCTGTTGCTGTGGTGGCTGCTGCTGCTGTTGCTGATAATGATGTTGATGATGACCCGGTGGCGGCGGCGAATAGGCGTCCGACCCGGCCACACCACCAACGTCCACCAGTTGCTGATCGGCTGCTGTCGCATTTTGCTGCTGTTGGGCTTGCTGCTGCTGCTGTTGCTGTTGCTGCTGAAGAACCACTGGTGACGTCACTGGCGCGGCGTTTGGTTGGACCTTTTTCGGGCGGCCGACCGGGTTGGCGCCTCATTCGCGGCTTCTTCTGGGCCTGCCTACTTTGCCTTTCCTCGCTGGCATGGCACCATTGCCCGTCGCGGCCGCCGCAGCCGCCGCTGCTGCCACCGATGATGATTTCACCATCTTGTGGAAGTCCGTTTCGCAAACTGCTGCACCGGATAGTTGGTAATACCTGCGAGAGCGAGAGAAACAGAAAAACAAACGGCTTGCATGAGTTTCTTTAGGACTTTTTTGGCTTGAGAGTAAGAAGGAGTAAGAGAGAGAGAAAGAGTAAAAAAAATGCGGCATGTGTGCGAGCGCGCGAGACGACGACGACGTCGTATTCATGAATAATCGTTCACAACCGGTCACGTAAACATCTGTGGCAAAAAAAAGGAGCAAAACGCCGAGTAACACAAAATCGACCGCCATACATATGCATGCAGGCTTGAACATTTTGTCTCTCTCTCTAATACGCGCAGACTCGTGCGCGCTCGCGTTTCTTTGGAAAAATGAGCTGTATAGAGCACACCTATACACTCTACACACATGCAACGGAGGCCACAAAATATTACATGTAAATGTGCGCGAGTGACTCACCTGTCGCCTGACGTGAGCTGAGTACCGCATTTTGTGCATTGAAAGCATTTGGTGTGAAACACATTTCCGCCTGCCCTCGTGACGAGCTCGGTCGCCGGTATGGTCTGGCCACAAGCTGCACAACACCCGGAATTACCAAACAATCTGTAACAGCAAAAAGAAAGAAATGCCTGTTATTAATATCACATTTTATTCACTAATGTATATTTAATGATCTGCAATAGCGTACCAGGCATATGATCGTTATAATCGAGCAAAAATACGGCAAAGTCAAATATAATTTTCCGAATTTGCTCTCGCGAACGTGCGAGTTGCTACCGAGAGCTCGAGAGCAATTAAATGTTTAGTCGCGCGATATAGCAGAGTTCAAACGAGCCTCTCTCTCTCTCTCTCTCTCTCTTTAGTCATTTATAATAGGTACTACGTCTTGCATGTCTCCGATTTACCTAAAAGATGCTCGTGCATGTAAGTATGTGTGTGTGAGTGTATAGCCGTGTACCTTTCTTTCCACACATAATATCAAAGGTGTTGTAAGTGTAGCTTTTAATTGGCAGCAGTTGCAGTAGCAGCAGAAGCAATGGTAGCAGATAAATCCGCTCTCTTTTGGGCTCTCTCTCTCTCTCTGTCTTTCGGAGCCACTATCGAGATTGAATACCTTCTTACCCCCTATAAAGAATCGCACGTATACGGTATTGTGCGCGCATGCACACACACACACACACACACACACACACACACTCGCTCGCTCGCGCACAAACATTCGGGTGAAATAACGGGAGGGAAATAATTACACGGGTGCACGCGCGGAGGCCCTCTTCTCATTGTCTCTTTCTCTCTCTCTACACTTTTGCACTCTTCCGAGTAAATCAGGCGCGATTCGGGGCCTTTGCTCGCGAACGATCGTCATCTTTAGGGGCGACGTATATTTGCTGCCGACGACGACGACGACGATGCACTCAATATACATACGTATATGTGCATACGTACACGCGCACATACACACGTATGCTCTCTGCTACATGCACGTTAATGGCAGTCAATGTTTACCTAGAGAGTTGCATGCAGCCCATGGCAAGGCTACGTGTGCGCATACAAACATGGCCCACGCAACGTATAGCAGGCTATAAAGCTTGCCGATGTTTATGCACCAATTAGCCGAGCGCTCGGCTCTCTCGCTCTCTGTGCGTGAGTGTACGTGTGTGTGTGTGTGTGTGTGCATATCCGTGTAACGTTACTCTCTCTCGCTCTCGTAGCTGCTGCGCGAGCGGGTAGGTAGGTACGCAAACACAACGACGTATACGCGTGCTTCCACTCTTAAACAAGTGATCGATCACGATGCGTGCCTACGCGTGTGTGTGTGAAGCTGCTGCTGGTTCTGCTCGTAGAGTCGAGAGCATATTGATGACGAGAAGGAGAGTAATGCATTTTCTTAATTGCAATTATATCGATGTGGAGAATCGGCTTTGGTGTAGATCATTACTTTGGATTTTTGCTCTCTATGTACACAAACACACACACACACACACACACACAGACGAACACAGCAGCTGCAGAACACACAAAGCAAAGAAAAGGCAAGTATCGTGATTTATTATCGACGAATGCGATCTCGCAATGCTTCAGCGCAGTGCAGTTTGGTGCTGTGGCGCGACGCGCGTATATACCTACTCCAACGCTCTAATTGACAGATGTATCGTGCAAAGCACTAAATATCTCAAAAACCAATCGATGATACGCTCGATGATAATGCGAGCCTAGATATATCTAAGTAGCCGTTCATGCCCCCGCGAGAGTTTCTCTCCGAGAGTCGACCACCACTATAATTTTACGCTTTGCGTATTTAATTAATCAATTTATTTATACCGATACTTTTGCAATTAAATGTTTGGCACCTCCATCCCCCGATCAACAACGTATAGATTCGTGCACGGGCGCATGTTTCGATTCGTATACATAAAAAGTTTTTTTATTCGCCCGAGCGCGGTCGATCCTCGACTTTTCACGATTATGACCGTATAATGCTTAATGAAGTTTCACCGACAAAATAAAAATAGCAGGCTTGATGACTTTTTTCATTTACAGTATATTGACACTAGCCAAAAGTCCGCGCGATATCCTCCGAACGAAAATTTCTCAATAATTAAAGTGTATTGAATTCTGGTGCCACTGCTGTTGGCGACGAGCAACGTCGTGGAGAAAAAAAAAGAAGGAAGAAAAGTTGAACGAGTTTTCATTGAAAATCAAACGCTCGTTGCATTTGATTTAAAATATTAATGCGTTATAAAGACAGAGTAGAAGCGAACGTAAAGCGGGGGCCACGAATAAAGTAAAACCGAGACAAGTCCGCTAATTAATTTTTGTTGATATGAAAAAAGAAGCTCGGTCTTCGCCGAGGACAAACGCGAGCGAGCGGAGCATTTCAATCTTCAGAATGGAAAAGTCACTCGTTTCGAGTGCTTGTGTATGTGTGTGTGTGTGCCTCAGAGGAAGAAGGAAAAAGTTTCGGGCTAATTAATAAACTCCCGAGCCCTAATTAACACTCGCTCTGGCTCACTTTTGGCAGCGAGGGAGGCAAGCTAGAAGAGGAGAAGGATATACACATCGACACAAGAGCGGGGGAGGAGGAGAGGACAGAGAAGTGAGTCGAACTTGGTCCAACATCGATATCGTATTGTACTTTTCCCGTACCCCAGAAGTGTATATACTACTTCTATTGCCTAGCGCCAATTTCAAACTTACCTCCTCTTTTTCTTTATTTCTTTCTTTCGTTCTCTTTCTCTTACACTCCGCACCAACATGCGCGCACCGGGGTGCTCAATCCTGTGCAATTACCGACTATCATCTGTTTTCTCTCTCCGTCTCCCCCCCCTCTCTCTCTCTCTCTCTCTCTCTCTCTCTCTCTCTCTCTCTCTCTCTCTCTCTTCACACAGCGAGAGACGTAGGCGTTTAATTAGTAATTACGGTAAGAAATCGAAAATAGAACGATTCTTTCATTTCCCCTCTCCGTTCATTTGCTGCTGATGCTGCATTCGTGAATGAGCGCGTGCAAAGTCTACCATTATTTTGTCTTGCTCTTCTTTTCGTCCACTTTTGTCTTGACACCTGCAGCAGCAGCAGCAGCAGCAGCAGCAGTTCCAGTCGCTTTATTTTTTTGCTTTTCTTTCTCTATAAACCTAAAGCCTTAAGTACCGGTTTCGTTTCTGCTTTTTAGCTAGAATCGTCAATTCCGGATTGGAGGGCGAGCGAGAGACGACGACGTGCTTCAACACATTAATAACTGAGCGCACTAAACGCGCCCGTGCTTATGCAGACGACCTTTCGCAAACGATATGATTCAAGGGAACCCAACGTAAAATAAAAAAAATGCCTTAATGCAATAAAACGATATATATCTCGAGGCCATTCATTATATCGAAATCACAATCATTTGGCGAATCCAATACAGCGATTTAATTGAATGCCTTGTGTCTTGGAAAAAATAGGGAGAAACAAAAGGAATAAAAAATGAGCAAACGGCGAATAATTGAATATATCAGCTATATCTCCGCTCGCGAAATAAATTCACACGTGAGTAAGCAGAAAAAAGGGCATACGCGCGCCTACGATAATAATGACTAGCCGCGTTTATATATACGCATGAATATAAAGTTAAATTTGGTATAAAACCGCACGAACGTGTGTATGCATATAATATATCCATTTGTGCGCTGTATGTGCAGCTCTGCTCAATGATTTAAACTTTCCTTGGACGAACGGGCAAGCGAGCCAAATAATTACGATAATTAAAGCCGCCCAATTTGAGCTCTCTCTCTCTCTCTCTCTCTCTCTGCTCTCTCGCCCGCAGAGCTCTGCATATATACGTACGTACAGTACGTACGCACACGCTGAACGCAGGACAATTAAAATGGCGAGGGTGGCGTAACGCGCGGTTTAACTAATTGGCTCGTCGCTGGGCTCTCTTTTCTTTCTGCTGCCTCTGCTGCCTGCGTGTGACGTGGGGGAGACCAGAGGAAAAGAGCAAGAGAGGAGCTTTCCATATTTGTATATAGGAGTACTTGTACTACTGCTTCAGCGCCAGCAGCAGCAACAGCCATTGTAAGCTAGAGAATTTCCAGTAATACACACTCGAGTCCGCTTACTTATTAATTGTTTGCATCCTTTTAACATTGCAAATCCACTCGAGCACGCGCACACACAAAAGCACAAAAAAACCGTCTCGTTGTCGCGAAGGTTGACTGGATTTATAAATTTTTTACCTCTTCATTTCTATAACATCGGGGCGAAGATTTGATTTACGCGATCGCAGCCATTCGTTTCAATCTCGTTCGCGCACGTGAGAGCTGAGAGCAACATTTTGAGAAATAGCCTTAATAACAATGATTGTCGGCGGTCGGAGTGGTTATTTAATTGGAATGAATGATATTATATGATACACACGCACACACAATGTAATAATAACCTCAGCCGACCAGGATAGAACAAGCTCATGGCAGCAGCTCGATTGGTTTTCGTTGGTACGTATACGCGCCGTGCGCATATAACAGCCGAATTCTCCCACACTCGATATACAGACGAGCGCGTGTGCAAGCAAGCGGCGATGATCCGCTGGAGAGGTCACTACACTGTAATATAATCGATTTAAAGATGCTCTCTCGTATTTCCAATATCCATTTAATTCGCTCAATCAAAATTCCTATTAGCCCCGCGCGCGCGCGTCGCTTGTCTGTGTGTGTGCCGTGTAATTTCGTAGCCTCGACGAGTTATTGCACTCTCGCTCGCTGCCTGTATCTGTGCTGAGTGTGTATATCTCGCTTCAAAAGAAAGAGAAGAGAGCGAGAGTAATGCGTAGACGCTGGCCGAGAGCTGCAGCGGGATTTTTACAGCTTCGATTGCCATCTTTCGTTTTCATTTCAGATCCATATAGCCGAAGAATTGGCTTGTTAAAATTTAATGATCGTGACGTCTCGAGCGAGCGAGTTAGTAAGTATAAAGAAAAGGAGACACAAGTTCTCTCTCTGTCTTTCTCTCTTGCAGCGCTTCGAGGTTGAAAGTATTTTAATGAGACTGCCAACAGGTAATTATTTCCCTTATTTCCAATGACATCCTTATGAACTTGACTCTCACAAGTTCTGAGCATGAATTTT